TGGGAAAAAAACAACCCTTAAATACATAAATTTGAAAGAAAACAAAAGAAATAATTAAGAAATTCAAAAGTGGGAAAAAAACAACCCTTAAATACATAAATTTGAAAGAAAACAAAACAAATTCAAAAGAGAACAAAAAAAAACGTTACCCTATTTTTCAGAGTATAAGTGACAGCAAGGTTTTGAAGAGGAAAATTAAAAAAAAAAAGGTTTTGCACTCTGCAAAACTCCCCAAAATGGCCCATTTTTCACAAAAATGGGCCTAGTTTTTTTTTCTTCTTCAAAAAAGGGCATGAATAGTCCTAAGGAGGTTTGTAATGTGCTCCTGGGGGGCAGAATTGAGGAAAATATGGCCTGTTTTTCGCTCATTTCTGCCCTCCCCAGCCCCCAGGAGCACTCTGGAAGCCTCCTAAAGGCTATGCAAGGCCATTTCTGCAAAGAGGACGGAGTTTCGGGAGGTCAAAACTGCTGTATTCAGTGTATAAGACGCAGCCAGATTTTCAGCCTCTTTTTTTTTTGAGGGGAAAAAGGTGCGTCTTATACTCCGAAAAATGCGGTAAATACAAATCTGAAAGAAAACAAAACATTTAAAAAATCAATTGAAAGGACAAATCCCTCAAATAAATTCAAAACAAAAAACTTAAGTACCGGTACATACATTTAAAAGAAAACAAAATACTTACATTGAAATTTAGAAATGACCCCCCAAAAATATATCTCTACATGGGAAAGATAAAACGAGAAACTAAAAAGAAATTCAGAATAAAACATCCGAGCGCAGCCTGGATGGACCGCTGGGTCTTTTTTCCTAGCTTCTCCCATGTTTTTCCCCCTCTCTCCTTCCCCCCCCCCCAGGTATCTCAAGTACCTGACCAAGAAATACCTGAAGAAGAACAACCTGCGCGACTGGCTGCGCGTTGTGGCCAACAGCAAGGAGAGCTACGAGTTGCGGTATTTCCAGATCAACCAGGACGAGGAGGAAGAGGAAGAGGAAGATTAAACGCCAAGCGACGATCTGGAGCCGTTTTGTACATCCGTTTTTCCCGGAATAAAATTGTGGTAGAAATTTTTCTGATTGTCACCCCCCCTTTTTTTGGTGGTGGGGGGGGGAAAGGTGTTCAAATGGCCTCGGCGGGGGACACAAGATGTGTGCCTGAATACGCAGCTTTTCCACACAGGTGGTTCCTCCTTCAGGTGGCTTCACCCGCTCCTTGCAACTTAATTTTTTTTCAATGTGCACATTAGGATGCCGAGGGGAGAGGACTCAGGCAAGCACGGGGCGCAGGGGGAGGGGGTTTGGGGAGGGGTCCTCATGGGCACAGGTAGACTTGAGGCAAGGGGCTGGCTAAGGTCTCTCCATTTTGCAGAACTGCCCAAAGGGAGACCAGGGTCTTATACAAAGCCGTTCTTCTTGTCTTGCCGGTTGACGTAGGCTGCCTCTGTCTGGGGAGGCTCCATTGAGGCAGGGGGCTGCTCTTCTCAAAGGGGAGACCCTTCCCAAAAAGGTGGTGGGTGGGAGTGGGGGGCAGGTGGGTTCGCACCCCCCCCCCATTTTGCAGAGTTGCCCGAAGGGAGACAAAGGTCTTTGTTTGAGCGTGCTTTCTTCCCTGCCAGCTAAGGTAGACTGCCTCCAACTGGGGAGGCTCACTCAAGATGCTGGAGCTGCCCTCCTGGGAAAAAACCCTCCACCTGGTTAATGCTGAATACAAGAAAATACAAAAAATTTCCTCCTTTCCCCCCAAGAAAACGTTGTCTGCTTCCCTATAGGTTGCAGTACCCATACTGGCCACCAGGGGTAGCATGAGACCCAAGACCCATGAATATAGTCGTGTATTCCTATAGGTTGTAATACCCATACTTGCCACCAGGGGAAGCATTAGATGAAGACCCATGAATATAGTCGGTGTATTCCTATAGTTGCAGTACCCACACCGGCCACCAGGGGTAGCATGAGACCCAAGACCTTTGAATAGAGTCGGTGTATTCCTATAGGTTGATTGATTGATTATACCGCCCTTTTCCCCGAAGGGGACTCAGGTTGCAGTACCCATATCAGCCACCAGGGGTAGCAGGAGACTCAAGACCTATGAATATAGTCCCTGTGTATTCTTACAGGTTGTAGTACCCATACTGGCCATCAGGGGTAGCATGAGATTTATACCCATGAATATAGTCTGTATTCCTATAGATTGCAGTACCCATACCGGCCACCAGGGGTAGCATGAGACCCAAGACCTTTGAATAGCCGCTGTGTATTCCTATAGATTGCAGTGCCCATACCGGCCACCAGGGGAAGCATGAGACGACCCATGAATATAGTCGGTGTATTCTTATAGGTTGTAGTACCCATACTGGCCACCGGGGGTGTGTGGGTAAAATGAGACCCAAGATCTTTGAATAGTTGCTGTGTATTCCTATAGGTTGCAGTACCCATACCGGCCACCAGGGGTAGCATGAGAGAGAAGACCTTTGAATAGAGTTGTAGTCTCAAGAACAAATAATACCCCAAGTGTTCACTTTATTCGCTGCAATAGCTAAACATGTCCACCAGAGGGCAACACCTGTTTTACAGCCAATACCCCAAACTAGCCACCAGAGGGCAGCATACATTGCCCTTTACGGGCTGCACGGATCCCAAACAACTTAACCCACAATACGGATTTCCCATTTTCCTTCCTTCCTTCCCAGAATGTTTCCTTCCTCCCCCTCCTCCCCTAGGATTTCCTAGTGGTGCCCCATCCAAGCTGTTTCTCCTCCTCTCAAGAACTCCCCCCACCCCCCCAAAAAAGCCACAAAAAACACCCCGAAAAGACAACTCTGCCCGAAGGCCATGGTTCAAATAAGGCCTGGTTTTATTTAGCTAGTTGTTTCGTCCATTCCGTAAATACAGTTAGTTGTGTTTTTTTTGTTTGTTTTTAAAATCTTTTTAACAATCCAAATCTTTTTGTATTTTTAACAAGCAGGATGGAGACGCCCGGGAGGTTTCGCAATTACGCAATTACGCGTGGGAATAATTACAATCGTAGATGCCGGGTTTATTATAGAGACCTGTGGTTTGTCGTTTGGGGGGGGGACAACAGATTGGGGAGGGGGGAGAACGGGGGAAAAACAATTTGTATTTACAGAAAGGCGACGCACAAAATCTGGAAGCCTCCATGGCTGACCCACAAGAGGTTTTTTCCCCCCACCCAGTTCTTGTTGGCCAACACAACCAAGGGAGGGAAGACAAGCATGGACCCCCCACAACAACCTTGGGTGCCCCCCCCCTTTCCCTCCCGCCTAAATTATCTGGGGTGGAAAATGAATTTTCCGAACGGCCTTTTGATTGATGGAACAAGTTTGGGGGGGGGGGAGCAAACCCCGTTCTCTCCACTTTGCAGAAGGGTCCATTTTTGAGTTGGGGGGTTTCTGAAGATTGGGGGGGGTCCAGTGTTAGAATGACAGGCAGTTCTCAACTTAACAACTGTTTTGTTGAGTGGCCTTTCGGCGTTAAGTGGCGCTGAACGTTGAATTAACCATTTTTCAGACTTAACGACCAGCCCCCGAGGATCAAAATTGGAGAGTGACTCGTATTTATGATGCTCGCAGTGTCCCGGGGGGGGGGGGGGTCATGCGATTCCCCCTTTGGCGACCTTCTAGACCGATTCACTTAACGACCGTGTTGCTAACTTCACCGCTGCACCGATCCCCTTGTTTAACCGTGTCCAGAAAGGTTTTTAAAACGGGCCGAAGCTCGCTCAACGACCGTCTCCCTCAGCAGCAGAAACTTTGGGCCCAGTTGTGGGTCATAAGTCGAGGACTACCAGTATTTTAGGAGAACCCAGGTAGCAAAGACAGATATATATATATATTTTGAAGCCTTATTGGGGGAAAAAAAAGGGACATTTTTTTACAAGCCGTTTTAACCCCAAATCTTTAACATTTTAAGGTTAGAAAGGATGTAGTTTGATCCAAGCTCATTTAAGGAGGAGGAATATTTTTTTTGGGGGGGGGAGAGAAATCGGGGAGACACACATGGGCATTTTCAATCAGGCCTTTTTAACAGGATTCGACTCTCTGCCCCAATTTGGAGATTTAAAATTCTGCATTTCGCTAAGGCACAAAGCGAGCACATCGACTGCTAACGCCGGGAAACTTGCAACGTTCCCCGAAACTCTTTGTGGGGGGGTGTGTGGGAGGTGGACAATGGTGGGTGCATCCATGGCGAGCCCCCTTCCCCAGACTGCCACCCCTCCCCTTCCCAACCAAAGGGGCATTTCGTGCGCCACAGCCATACAAATCCCAGCACAGCAGCGAGTCGATTCTCAAAAATGCAAGGATAATTTTGGCCGAACCGATTCTCAAAACCGAAGCAAGAACTGGGTGGGAATTTCCCACCCCACCGATTTTGGGGTGCCTGGGGAAACATGGCTCGACCTCGCCTGAACGCCACCTTGAAAATACCTGTAATAAAAGACCATATTTTCTAGGGGAAAAAATAATAACCGAGACGAAAAAACTTTGGAGGAGACGGGAGCCGTTCCGATCCAACTGCGCCGTATCCCCAAAATTTACTGGGCTCCCTTTGTCCAGAATTGTTCTTAATTCTCTTTTTTTTTTTTAATTCCATCTCCAAGAAATAAAAAAAATAAAAATCTCTCTTCTCATTTCAAACTTAAACCAAGAATAATAAAAAAATAAATAAAACCACGTTTAACGAAGGAGGAGCGATGGTTTGGGAAAAGATGCATGCATTAAAGTTTCCCCCCCTCCCCATAAGCAGTTTCTAATAATAATCACAGCTCAGTCCATGCCTGATTTTTTTTTATATATAAAAACCGTGCCAGCTCTTATTAGTGGGATGGGGGGGGGGGAAGGAAGGAGGGAGGGGAGGCCCAGATTTAATGTTTAAAAACACTGACACTTGTGCCTACGAGGAGTTTTTTTCTTCCTTTTCTTG